TTTGAACACCTTTATTGTAAAAAAATATGGGTAATGCAGAAAATCATGAAATGAACCTTATCCATTGGTAAGCATTAATAATTTTTCTTTCTTTTATCCCTATTTCTACTACCAAAATAAATGTTTTCTTTAGATATTTAGGTTATTTGGGCTCCTGTTATTTCTTTATATTTTAATGACGCTTCCTTTCACTCATTCACTTGTTGCTTTTTATTTTTCATCAATTTTTAATAACTATTTTTAATGTGGTGCTGAGGATCAAACCCAATGCCTCACATATGCTAGGTAAGTGCTGTACCACTGAACCACAATCCAGCTCTTCTTGTTGCTTTTTAAATTAAGCTAAAATGTATAAAAGTTTGCCTCCTCCACTACTTTGTAGTGCTGCAGATTGAACCAGGGCCTCATGCATGCTAGGCAAGTGTTCTAAGTTACACTCTCAGCCAAAATTTTGCCATTTTAATCTCTTTTAAGTATATAATTTGGTGACATTATTTTCAGTGTTGTACAACCATTATCACTATTTCCAAAATTTCATCACCCCTAACAGAAACTGTAACCAGTTAAGCAAAAATTCCCTATTTTTCCTTCCTTCCAGTTCTTGGTTGCCTTTACTTTCTGAGTCTCTATGGAATTTTTCTATTCTAGATATTTCATAGAAGTAGAATCACATAATATTTGGCCTTATAGGCCTGGTTTCCTCTAAGAAGAGATATAAATTACACTGTGCTCAGGCTTTTACCAACTATGCTAAATCACCTCAGTTAAAAGTGAACTAATGTTAGGGCACCACTCTATCATGAGAAAAGCCATTGTCTTCCATCAGCAAAATGTCTGAAAATAGGAGGGGCATTTATCTGTCCAGTGAAAGTCATAATCCTGACATTTGATGGTGCCAGTTGTCTGATTCTAGTCAAAGATCAATTGCTTTCTTACTGCTTTTCATTTATCTATCCATTCATTTTTTGGGTACTAGAGTTTACAACTGAGGCACATCCCATCCTTTTTATTTTTTTTTTTTTGAGACAGGGTCTTACTAAGTTGCTGAGGCTGACCTTAAACTTGCAATCCTCCTGCCTCAGCTCCCCAAGTTGCTGGGATTACAGGTATAGGTCATCATGCTTGGCTCTCACAGCTTCTTTTTCAACAATGCAGTCTGGATCTATTCTTACCTTCCTTCCTTCTCTAAAACGTCCAACAGGGTACTTTCAAATGTTTTGTAACATTACATGAACATCCCTCTGAGTAATATGGACAAATGTCCAAAGATATGTTATAGGAACCATTTGTCCCCCCTTTTTAATCTATGGGATTTTGTTTTAACGATTCATATAGACACTAACCTTTCAGGTAGATTTAAGGATACTTTTTATTTAATGTAATTTTGTTTGTGTTCTGAAAACCAAGGACATTGAAGTATACATTCTCTGTTGAATAGAGCACTGTGTACATGTATCTTTGTTTTGTCTGAAAATAGCTCTTAACCTTCATCTTCTCACAGCTTTAGTATTTGGGCTTGCTCTGTATAGTTCGATCTGTAAGAGAGAATGGGATCAGTTCTGACAGGTGTGCTATTGGAACAATATCCCAATTTTCTTAATTCCCTGAATCTCATTACAGCATCATTTCCATGATACTCCTTTGTCTGAGTCTATGGAGAAAACAAAAAAGGAATTAATTTTTACAATAGGAAATGGGACTTGAAAAGGAAATGTTTTCACCTGAGAAATAACAAAATTTTTACCTGGTAATTTAGTGGCAGGCCTGGAACTCCAGCCCACATCTTCTAGATACTGTAGCAAGTTAATAGCGATTCCCAACTAGGGAGATTTTGCCTCCCACCCCTGCCTGGTACATTTGGAAATGTATGGAGGGTTTTGTCATAAATGGTAGGGAGGTTACAAGTCATCTGGAGGCCAGGATGCTGCTAAACAATCCTACAATGCACAGGATAGCTGCTGAAACAGTTATTCAGCCCAAAATGTCACTGGTGCCTTTGTTGATAAGTCCTGTTGTAGAGTATTGGAAACTGAACTTGAACCCTGCTCTGTATCTTACTCTGTATCCTTGGGAAGTGACTTAATTTCCCGGAAACTGCCTTCTCATCTGGAAGAACAAAATGGCCACCACCATAAAACTGACAGACAAAAAAAAAAAAAAGCCTATATTTCAAGGTGGTTGTGACAGATCACTTCAAAAAGCACTATACAGTGCAGAGCATCTGATGGGCCCAATAAATAAAAACTCAGGACCATCCCATGCAGTTCAGTCATAAGACAAGATGGAAGCAGTGATAGAAAGACAATGTCACTGAAATGAAAAACAAGGATCCTCACTTTCCTATTGGCCTTTACAGAGAAAAGAGTAAGAGAGGTTAATGAAAGGTTTAAGAGAACCAAACAGCACTGAGGAGAGGCAAGGAGATAAGACTGGAGACAGGAAGTAATGAGAGGACTGTGTAGGTGAGTGACTTGGAGATGCACTTGAGAGATGTTTAGGCTAAATTATAAGAACTTGGTAAGAAATTTTATATAAGGCCATGGGAGAAGAGTCTTGAATAAATATGAAATTTCTAATGTGGGTGCTTGGGTGTTGGTATACCATGCAACAAGATAATGAAATCAGAGGACAGGGAACATAATAAATTCAGAGGACAGGGAACATAATAAATTCACTGTGGACATATTAAGTTTGGAATGTCTGTGGGCCATCTAGGTGACAGTCAGAGGGGACAGAATTTTTAAAACAATCAAAGGAGGCAGAACAACAGAAAGACAAGATAGTTTCAAGAACACAAGTACAACTGTAAGAAATGGTGGAAAAGCTCCATAAACTCAACAAGCCAAAACAACCATTTACCTGTCTGAGATTTTATTAGCAGGACTGTAGCAGCCAGTAGCAGAAGAGAAGGGTGGGGGGAGGAGGGGCAAGGGGGTGGGGGGAAAAAAGGGGAGAGAATTGAACAACAGCAGAGGAGGTAGAGAATACACCTGCTCTGTGAGGGGAGGGGGGGGGGGGTACGCATTCCAGAAAGGGGATCAGGCATTGATCAAACGACTGCAAATAATGCAAAACGATGATAAGTGTCATGAGGGGAAAATCTCACACTTTCACAGACACCCAATAGCAGAGTGGCAGGAGGAGCAGGAAAGCAGTAAAAATG